AAAAAAAAGATTGTCTTTGGCAAATGCCCATGCTTGCTCATTCATCTTCCTTCCTGCCCTCTCCTTTCGTGTGTCTGCCCAGATACCCAATCCCTAAGCTCTGCCCTCTTAGGCCTGGTGTTTTCCTGTTATCTCTAGTTGACCAGTGCTCTCTATTGTCACTAGACCTCCATCATCGTTCCTTACCCATTCTGTCGCTCATCGCCTACACATCAGGCTCATTGTGTCTTCCAAGGATGATTTGCATGAATGGGTAGAAGGTTATCAGAAGTCTCCTGTTCACAGCCCAAATCAGGGAATACCCTACCTCATTAGGTGACTTTTTTTTTTCCTTTGGGTTTGGATCTATGATTTCATTGAAGAAGGGAACTCCCAATTGAGGAAGACACCTCCCTATGAATTCATTTTTACAACTACTTTGTAACTTATAGTGTCATGGAGTTGTCTGGGGCACTGAGTGGTTAAGTGATTGATTAGGGTCCAACAATCAACATGTACTAGAAACAACTTGAAGCTGGGTCTTCTGTACTTTGAGGTTGGTGCTCTAGCCACTGTAGCAGGCTACTTATCCTACAGAGAAATTCTTTTACTAGTGGCCTTTTGGAAAGAATGCTTCCAACTTTTGTTGTCTCATCCGACAGACTGATGGCAATGATGGGAATTTCTGGTAGGCCAGTGGCAGTATGGCTCTTTACTGTGTCACTCAAACATATATGTGGAGCTACCAATAGTGTCTAGGGGTTGCACTGATTACCTTATCCCTTTATCACGCACTAGTGGGGTCTTGGAGAGGAGTCCTATTGACAGCACTGATCCATGGTCTGCCCACCAAGGGTCGCACTTGGTTTAGTCTTATTTGATGTAGGTCTTGCTTCTGATTCCATTAGTGTCCTGATCCAAGGCATGGATCCAATAGAATTGACCTAGCCTATTGCTAGAAAACTTCCTCTACACTTTTCCTGCTCTTTTCCATCAGAATCTTTGGTCTACCAGGTTAGTAAAGAGCCTTGAATTCATGCCATATCAGGATGGGGGTGTTTAGACTGGAGAGGGCTATGCTGTAGTCAGCTCAAACTGGTTAGAGAGAGCCAATTGCTAAATATTCAGTGTGAGCATTTACTTACACCTTGGAAATTGGCAAACACTTCAAATCCTGGCTTGATTTATTGTTTTGCTGATTTTCTAGATAAAGAAAGTGATGGAGAAAATGTTAATAATGAAGATTAAGCTTAAAAGTACATACTGAGTACTTTCTCCACTCCCCCCAAGGGTTGGTTGTCAAACATTTACCAGAGCACCCCTGACTTAGGGGAATAAATAGCTATCTTCTAGTATTTTGAAGATCTTCCAAGCTATTCAGCTTTGCCCCAGAAAACAGAGACAGGAGTAGTGGGTGCAAGAGAGGCAATTTAGGTTTGAAGCAAGGAAAAAAAAATTCAAAAAATGAGAGCTATCCAAAAATGGAACGGATTGCTGTATGAGGTAACATGTTTCCCTTTATTGAAGGTTTTTAAGCAAAGCTGGATAATCATTTAAGTATGTTAAAGTGGGGTTGTTTTTCTTTTCTTTTTAAAAAATTAATAATCATTTATTTTCTCTTCACCTTTTTATCCCTCTCTTCCCACTAAAAAAGAGAAAAAAAATGAAATTTTTATGACAAATATACATAATCAAGTAAAACAAATCTCCACAATGGCCATGTCCAAAAAATATGTCTCATTCTGCATATTTAGTCTACCTTTCTTTTAGGAGGTGGCATTTTTTTTGTTTGTTTGTCTGGTTTTATTTAACCTTTTTTTTCAATGAGCAAAACATATTTTCTTTTCCTCCTATCCATTTCCACCATTGGGGGAAAAAGAAAGAAAAACAAAATTTTGTAACAAATATGTGTAGTCAAGCAAAGCAAATTCTCATATTGATCACGTTAAAAAATGGGTGTCTGATTCTGTCTCTGAGACCCTCATGTCTCTGTCAGGAGGAGGATGGCCTACTTCATTATCAATCCTCTGGAATCAGGATTGTTCATTTTGTTAATCAGAGTTCTTATGGCTTTTTGAGTTGTTGTTGTATGGTGTTGCTACTGTATAAATAATTTTCCTTGTCCTGCTCACTTCACTCTCCATTAGTTCACTAGTCTTCCCAGGTTTCAGTGAAATTGTTCCTTTCATTATTTCTTATAGCATAATACGAAAGAGCACCTGCTTAGCTTGCAGTTCTTGTTTTCAGAATGTTCTAACCCCAACTTGGTCACCGTGCTCCCATCAACTCTGTTTTCACCAGTGACCTGACTTGGTACCTCCTTCTTCCCAGCTTTATATTTTTCAACTCTGTCCCACCCCCTTTTTGTTCTTTGTCTTCTCAATCCATTTGTAAAACTGCAAATTTTTCATCCTTACTCAGCTCACATGAAGACCATGGCCATGATAGTATTTGCATGTCTATGGTTCAATCAGTCCTTCCTTTGTGTAAATAATAAAAATGCCTTGGTCAAGCAAGAAAATGCAGAGTACTGGGTCAATACCTAATTTTAAAAAAGCAAGTTTTTAAAGAAAAGTCAAGGGTATAATTTATTTTTACCTTTGTCACTACTCTTTAACTGTTATAAATAGCCACTTAATCTAGCCTGGTATATCTCTAGACTTGATTGGAAAGCTGCTTCATAATTCTGTCTATAAAATATAATCACAAAAACTTCTTTATACGCCTAAATCCTTATGTTAGTGTTGGATCCCTCCCATGCCATGCCCCAACCAACTTGAACAGGCTCATGAGGGCTGATTGTTAAATTTTCAGTGTGAGCATTTACACTTTGGAAATCAGCCAATTCAGGGCTGAATTTAGTGTTGTGTTGATTTCTAAACTTATGAAAGTGAAGGAGAAAATGTTAATATTCAGATTAAACTTAGAAGTGTGTTGTCATGTATACATTTTCTTCTTTTCAGAAAGCTGGTTGTTAAACATGTACCAACACACCCTTGCATAGCTCCCAGGATGGTTCAGAAACAATAGACCAGCTTGGACCATCCCTTGAAAAGGATGATGATGTGGGATATGGGTCATGAGGAACCAGCTGCCATGATTTGGTCTGGGCACTTTAGCTCAATCAGTTATAATGTGGTGTTGATTACACCTTGAGTTCCATGATCATATAGGTCAGTTTATTTTGCACTGAGGAAAAACCATGTGCTATGGCCACAAACTGCTCACCGACCCCTAATAGATCATCCCACAAATACATATTTTGGTCGCAAGAAGCTAGTACTGCTGTTTTCACAAAGGGCAGTACATTTCTTTCCCCTACTATAAGGTTAGTAGGTCCTATTGTTGGGGAGTTGGTGTGAACCTGTCCCCCTTTTTTCAAAATAGCTTGTTCTGTTCAGCTTGTAGTATTTTCCACCTTAATCAGGCATAGTTCTTGTTACACAGGAGGAACATTGGGTGATGGATGATAGATGGTCCTGGGAGACTCAACTCAATTCAATGAGCATTATCATTGGCATGATGCAGTGGGGATAGGTGAGTGGGACTGTGAATACAAAACAAACTGGAAAACATTGTTCCTGACCCAATGAGTTAGTCATCCAGTTGTGAAGGGCATGGTATAGGGACAAGAGTTCCGTCACTGGAGTCAAAGGACCTGAGTTCAAATGCCTCATCTGATACTGTCTTAAAGGACTCACTTAACTGTCCCCCCCCCCGCCTTTTCTTGGTTTTAATTTTAATTTTTACTAGTATCTTTTGTTTTTGCATCACCTTCATTTCTAATATCCTTCTTTCCTTCCCTACCTACAGCCATCCCCTGTAAGATATAATAAAATAAGAGGAGAGGGAGAAAAAGTGATTCTGCAAAACTAACCAACATATTGACTTAGTCTCACAAATATTAAATGTCCTGTACCCACAGTCCTTCCTGTCTGTTGCAGGTGACTTGAATACATTATTACTTTGACAGACTTGGAAACCTTGAAGCATTATGTCATCTTAGAAAACATTTCATACCATAATAATAATTGACCTTTATTTAGTGCTTTAAAGTTTTCAAAGAACTCTATATTCATTATCCCACTTGAGTCTCATAACAGCCCTGTGATGGGGGTGCTATGAGTATTATTATTCCCATTTTAAAGGGGAGGAAATCGAAACTTATAAAAATTGAATGGTTTGCCCACAGTCACAGAGCCAGTTAAGTGTCATAGGTAGGATTTGAACACAGTTGTTGATACCAACCCCAAGGTACTCTCTACTATGCTACTCTACTTTTCAGGACCAGTTCCCTCACATAGCAGCAGTTAAGCTATTGATACAGTAACCCAATTTTATTGAGTACACCTGTATTTTGTCTGTTGAAGTAAAATCAGATTTATTGAGGTGGACCATGAAATAAACAAAGCTCAGAAAGGTCCAACTGAGTCCTGTTTCTGGTTTGGCCACTGACTTATTTTGCCTTTCTAGAAACTTAGCTTCCCTATCCTTAAAATGGGGCCAGTGATTTTTCTTTTCTAGCTTCATGCTAAGAATTCTCTGAAAAAGATAATGCAATTTAACATTTGCATAACTCCTGAAGATAAGAAAATAGAGCAGAGAGCACATGAAAGAGTCGATTTATGTAAATAAAGAAAAGAAAACAGCAATTTGGAACTTGGGTCATCTCTGGGGTTAATCAGACATTTCAGGATTCTGTTATAGCGTGAGATACTAAAGGTGGAAGTGGGGGTGGTGATTAAAGATTTGAGCGTTCTGCCGTCATCCTTTTCCTTTCAAGTCTTGCTTTTCCACCTCTCAGAAAGTAGAATTGAAAAAAATGTTAGTCATCAACTCCAAGTTAACCACAGCTCTAAGATGAAAATCAGGCTAGTGGGCTAGTGGAAATAGGGGCAGTGATTGCTTTAGAGCCGCTATAAAAGGAGTAGGTGCTATCAAGGATACAACACATACACACTCACACACACATACACATACATACACCACCTAGGTGCTTCAAACACTAGGTTGGCCATCAGAGAAGAGTCACTATGGCTTTCCAGAAGGGCACAAGGATGGTGAGTATTGTAATTTCCTCCTCATAGTCAGTAAAGCCAAGCTCTATGGGATGAAGTTTGATCAAGAGTTTTCTCTTCATTAGAAGATGTAACAGATTTTGCTTTGCCACTTGCTAGCTCATCTGCAAAATGGGCAGAATAATACCTGAACAACTCACCTCATGTGGCTGTTATGAGGAGGATGATTTAAAAATTTCACAGCATTGTTGAAAAATGAGTTATTTCTATATTGTTATGATTATTATGATTATTATTAGTATTTGATCAGGTTGTCGTTAGAGGAAGAATAGAAAAAAGGATAGCCATCAGGTGAGGTATTATGGGAAGAGCACTTCCTGGGAGTAAAAAAAAAAGCCTAGATTTGAATATAATTCCATCACTTTCAGCCATATGACATTGAATAATATACTTGACTTATCTGAGGCTGTTTCATTGTCTCTAAAAGAGAGAAATCAATATTTGTAATAGTTATCTTGGATATTGAGAGAATCACAGGAAATACTGTTAAATGAGAGGATTTTGTAAAATATACAGTGTGAAATATCATTAATTTTTATTACGCATAGGCAATTGTGCTGATTCAGTGCCAGGAGTGTAGGATACACAAGTCTGGGTGGCTCTGGGCTATGAAATAAGAAAAATAGCACATATACTTCTGTAGTATTTTAAAGCTAACAAAGTGCTTTTCTAAAAATGACTCTATGAGGAAAGTGGCATATTATTATGTCCATTTAACAAAGGTGAAAACAGACTGTTTTCTTGCTTATGATCATGCAACTAATAAGTAGTTATAAATCTAGTTGTCCTTACTCTAAATTCAGCTCTCAGAAAACCAGTTACACATGATTTCGCTTCACTTGTGCACCTAGTCACAATAATTTGGTCCTAAAATTCACATCTGATTGGATACATGCTTAGCATGAAACATCAGAGAAAAGGGGGAATAGCCATGGCCTGAAGACTTGGGACTCCTCGGTGTTGCACTTTGGACAGCTCCTTCAGGAGGAAGACCTTTGCTCTTTGTGATAGGTGGTAGGGATGCTTTAGAATTTTCCTGTTGCCCTTGGTGGGATAGGCTGCTAGTGTTACTGAAAGTGAAGTGGTCCTCAGTGATGGGAGGGCTCTGCCATTAGCTAGAATCTCCAGGAATTTCTGCACCTTATCTTCCTCCATAGCTTCAGTGTTGAGTTGGTGGCTCACATTGAACGTGTTGCATCAGGGAGAACACTTGACTCAGGTGACAGGAGATGGATTTGATCCCTAGCTTGGCACTGTCTCTGAGCTTCAGTTTCCTCATTTGTAAGACGGGCATAATTTGTGTACCACTTTCTTTACACAATGGTTGTGAGGAAGAAGGCGCTTTGTAAAACTTAAGGCGCTGTAGGAGATGTGAGTTATTACTACAATGTGCTTTCCATACATTATCTGATCGGATTGTTAGACCTGGGAGGTAGGCAGTTCACGTATAATTCTCCCCTCCCCCATTTTATAGCTGAGGAAATTGAGTCTCAGAGACACAAGAGACTTGCATAAAGTCTCTTTGATTTGGGACTTGAACCAAACTCCAAATTGAAAGCTGTACACAACCCAACACCTTGTCTTTTGGAGTGGGTTGCTGCACTGAGAAGGAGAATATACTTACTAGAATAGCATGACATCATGAACCGTGACCATATTTAATGGTGTGTTGTTATTAAGTCATTTCAATCATGTCCAACATTTTGTGACCCCTATTTGTTTTTTTTTGTTTTTTTGTTTTTTGTTTTTGGCAAAGATACTGGAATGGTTTGCCATTTCCTTCTCTAGCTCATTTCGCAGAGGAGGAAACTGAAGCAAACAGGGTTAAGTGACCTGCCCAGGGCAATACAACTAGTAAGTATCTGAGGCCAGATTTGAACTCAGGTCTTCCTGACTCCAGGGCCAGCACTCTATCTACTGTACCACTTAGCTGCCCATAGTTAATGCTAGTAGTGGTATATATGATGTGCTTTTTTTACTTTTGCAGATTTTTTTGGTAGATTGTCTTTAAAATAGCCTGTATCTTGTAGAAAGAACAGTATTTACATTAAAAAAATAATGGGGGTGAGGAGGATAATGCTTTTGAATTTAAATCTACTATATGGAAAACATCAGAAAATCTGTCAGGCAAATTTATCCTTTGTGGCTTATTGCACCCTCAATTATTAGAGACTATTCAAGTTTGACTGTCAGCTAGAAGTATAGCCAGTACCAGTATCGGTACCAATAGAATATGGTTAGAAGCAAAAGTCATAAGGGCAGATTGGATAACCTTTACAAAGATAGTCCAGGACAATTTCCATGGTGAAGTCCATTGCTCTCTGTTCCCTGGATAAAGTACTGAACCAGTAGATTGTGAGCTTCCTGAAGACAGGGACTGTTTTTGTCTTTGTACCGTTAGTACCCAGCACAGTGCCTAGCACATAGTAGGTGCTGAATGAAATTGAATTATTGCATGATTTAGCAGCTAAATACCTCAGTTCTCTTCTGGAAGGTCAAAATTCTGACCCTCAATCAAATAAAGACCATATTATCTCCCCTTAGAAAGACAGTATGGCACAATGGATAAAATGATAGACTTGCAAGTCAGGAAGACCTGGGTTAAAATGCTGCCTCAGACACCAGCTATGAGAGTCTGAGCAAATCATTTAACTTTTCTGAGCCTCACTCTTCTCATCTGTAAAATGGAATATATATTTATAATTTACAGTTGGATGATAGCACATACCTCACAGGATTGTCTGAGAATCATGAAATAATCTATGTAAAGAGCTTTATTAACCTTAAAGCACTATGTAAATGTAAGCTATGATTATCATTAATGTGTTCTTTCTCACACTCCAGTTTTCCCATTTGCATAATAGAGATAAATATCCATTCCTATGCTTCACGGAGGGTAAAAGGAACATCCCTATATATAAATTGCTTTGAGTTCTTCAGAAAACAAAGAGCTAAATCACTTCAATTTACATAAACCACCAGTCCCAAGTTTTGCACTCAGGGTTTCTTGGTAAAAGCTATAGGAGTTGATTTCAAGCCCTGTCTGATTTCTAGATAAGAAATCATCCACATAACTTAAGCTGCATGCTATTCTGTTATACATCATTATATATGTTGGTTCAAAGTCCTTCATTCCAGAGTCTTCCAGAGCCCAGTTTCCAAATATTGAGTAATACCATGTTGTTAATAATAATTACAATGAGTGGACAGAGCACTCCACTGTACTAGCCATGAGAAGCTCTGGTTCTATTCTTTGTACTATAGCTTAGGAGCTGTGTTGGTTGTAGTTTCAGCAAGCTCCTGGAAGGGAGAGTAGTTGGAAGGTGTGTGAGAATACATAGCTGGTTCCAGTCATTTTATCTCTTTGAGCTCTAGGTTCCTCTTCTGTAAAATGGTGTAATAATAACCACCCTATTCTCACAATGATGTGAACAACCATTAGAATGTAAATTTTTTTGAGTGTGGATCACTTCATTCTTTGCACTTGTACCTCTAGTGCCTGGCACACAGTAGGTGCTTAATAAATGCATTTTGATTGATTAATCAAAGAAAAAAATTAGATGTGAAAACCTTTGGTAAAAGCCTAAAGTACTCTATAGGTATATGATATTATTATTATTAATTATAATTGTTATAAAAGTATTATTAATAGTATCTTTCACAAAAGGTTTCCTTCAACTCTTCATCATGATATAGAGGTGACTCTGGATCCTCAACAAGTATAGCTGACATTTATATAGTGCTTTAAAGTTTACCAAACACTTTATAAGTTTACCAAACTCATCTCTTTCAATCCTCATGATAATACTGTGAACTAGATACAATTATTATCTTCATTTTAAAGATGAGGGGACTCAGACTCAGTTTAGGTGACATGCTCAAGGTCATACAACTATTAAATGTCTGAGGCAAAATTAGAACCTAGGTCTTGATTCCAAATCCAGCACTGTCTCCACTATGACAGAACATCCCACAGGGTGTATTCCACAGAGTGAGCTCTGCCAGACCCTCCCAAGCTGCAAAGGCTTTGAATATAAGCCTGGTGATGGAATGTGTGTCTGCCATATAAGGACCATCCTGGCTGAGTTTAGAGAGGAGAAAAACCAGATGGGTCATAGGATAATGAATTTAGCCACTCATGAAGACTAGCTACTAAAGCATAGAAGGCTTGCATTCTGTGTTGTTGGAGGAAGAACCCAAACTGAAAAAGTCACAGAAACTTAAAATATTGAAGGAAGTAGGGACTTAAGAGATGCATAGAATTTTTAGAGGCCTGATAAATGATCTAGTCCAATCCCTTTATTTTACAGATGAGACCCAGAGAAATTAAAGGACTCATGTTTGCACAGATAGAACCAGGATTGGAATAAACTTTTCCTGACTTCAAATCTAGTAACCTTTTCACTGTTCCATGGTTCATTCATTCATTCACCCATCCATCCACCCATCTAATATTTATTGAGCACCTTCTATATTTAAGACTAGGTACTTTGAGGAAAAGAAAGATGATATGTGCTACATGAATTCAAAGGAAGTAGAGATGACTTCTACCTAGGATTATTATGGGAACTGAGTCTAGATAGGATTTTATAGACTGAGATGGGATGTGGAAGACATTCCAAGAAGAGAGCAAAGCAAGGAGGTGGGACAATACAAAAAATATATGAAGGATGACAAATAGACTAGTTGTCTGGAGAAATCTAGTGGGAGATCAAGCTGGAAAGGTCAGTAGGGGTTAGGTAGTAGAGGACCATGAATGGCACGCTGATAATTTTGGATTTTTCTCTTTGCATCATAACTTGACTGTCACATGAATGGAAGAAGGCATTGTTGTTTTCATTTTATTGAACTCTACTCCTTTAATTTGAGTATGCTGAATTTCTTAAGAGGGAGACAGAGCCTATAACCAAGTATACCCTTCTCTCTCTTTCAGTTTGAATTATCGCTGCTGGTGGTGCTGGGGCTTATTCTCCTTGGGAATGTGGGAGCTTGGAAAATTACAAAAAGAGGAGCGATCTCCCAGAAGGGTAATAATTGTCCTTCCTTGGAGAGCAACAGTGTGAAGGTTGACATCCGCATTGTCAACCAACCACAGGGCATCCACTTGGCACATACCTTCCAGAACCGCTCCATCTCTCCTTGGGATTACAAGTAAGAATCATTCTTCATAGAAGTAGGGTCATGGACTTTTCTCATGATCACATGTTCTCCTTACTGCTTTGTAAAAGAATGGCATTATGTGTCAAAGAGCAACATAAATGATTAAGGATTTATAAAATGGGAAAAGGCTTAAGGAATCAAGTTGAGATTTTAAAATGATTTAATACAAAATCTAGTGACAATCTTCAGTCATATTAATGAGTAGCGACCGGTTCATCTTCACTGACCATAGAATAGTAGTAGGAAATGATTTCCTATCTTAGCAGGAAGAATGTTGGTCAGTTATACGGGAAAACCACCAGTAAAAGACAAACTGGAATGGGATCCAGGGAGATTTCCTTAAGAGGAAAGATCACTGAATTTGGAATCAGAAGGTTTGGGTTTAAATTCTTTATCTGTCCCTTATTACCTGTGTGACTCAGAACACAACAATTGTAATATAAAATGAAGGAATTGGACTTAGGTAACCCCTAAGCCCCTTCCATTTCTAAATCGAATTCATAGACTATCTGAGTTGTTAGGACTGTGGAGATTATGCAATTTAACTTTCTTATTTGACAGATGAAGTGACTTGTTTAAAGTAATATAATCAGGAAATTTTAAAAGCTGGGACTCCAACAAAGTTCCTGGATCTCTTGACCCCATTCCAGGGGTCTTTCTATTGAACCAGACTGCTTTGCTGTAGGATAGATGACTCCTGGCCAGGGGTGGTGGACCACCCTGCCTAGAGATAAGAAGACTGGAAAGATCCCTTCAAGTCTTTAAATACTAGAGGAATAGGTGGGAAAAAAGATCTAAAAGAGAGCCAGAAATAGGGTGAAGCCTTTACTAAGAAAGCATAGTATGTTTGGTCATTCTCTACCCATAATTTAGAATGGGACAGTTTTATTTAAGGAATAAAATAAGCATTTTTAAGTGCTTATAAATAGTGTCTCATTTGATCCTCATAATCACCCTGGGAGGTAGGTGCTATTATTATCCCCATTTTAGAGTTGAAGATAGTGAGGCAAATAGAAGTGAAATGATGTGCCCAGGGTCACACAGCTAGTGCCTGAGGCTGGATTTGAACTCAGGTCTTCTTGCCTCCAGGCCCAGGACTGCCCCTAGAGGCTTAGGAAATGTGCAATACATTTCCTGGGAGGGCAAAGGGGAGACAGTTTGCAGTGACAAAAGGAATGGGGTAAAGATGACCTGGAGGGCAACCATGGTCAGATTTATGCCAGGTACTCTGAACTTGGCAATCTCTGTCAATTCTCTTGGCACATGGTCAACGAATGCTTTCTTGGCTGTGATGGGTGGGAGGGAATACAGAGTGGAGTGGTTGGGGTGGTTGGGGCAGTGAAAGAAAGAAATTAAGATCCTCAGTTTAGAGCTGAAAGGGACCTTTGAGGTCATCTCATCAAGTGCTCTTATTTTACAACTGAGGGAACTGAAGCACGGTGATCCCACTGATAGAAAGTAACACCGTCAAGATTTGAACCCACGTCCTCTGACTCCAAATACAGAGTGCTCTTTCCACTGTACTGACTTGTGTGTTGCTGTTTAAAGTATACAGTAAAGACAGGGAAATGTGGGTGATGTGAAATCAAAAGCTCTCAATAATTTTTTTTGAAAGTCAACAAACAAAAACATAATAGGCAGGCTCTATGGAGCATTCTCTATGAATGCTTTTTTTTTGCAGAACTGAATTCTGCTTCACTACCTGAGTGTTTCCTGGAGGTTAGAGTAGGAAGCATGGAGGAATGAAGGAAACTCATGTGAAAGTGGAGGGGTTGGGCATAAGATCCATTGACTCTGAGAAGGCTGTATTAGTTTTTGACAGTAAACGCTGCTCTTTCTCTCCCACTGGGACCAGCTCACAGAGAGGCAGCCAGGTCAGAGAGAAGATGTCGGAATGGTATTCGTGAGAACACCATACCCTGATGCATCTGGTTAAGGGAGAGGTGCCAGGTCTCGGAGACCTTGTGGTTGATGGTTTCTCTTGTAATTGGCATCACTAAATTCAGTGTTCTTTTGTGGGCTGGAGCCCACAGTCAGCAGAAAGTCATAAAGATGAATGTTTGGGAGACCTATGAGTAATGCCCACTTTTTAGGTAGGCAAGGGCAAGAGGTCATTGCCAGGCCCAGACATCAGTCACCTTTCCTTTCTGACTCCATCTGAGCTTACCTTTGTGCTATGTGCATTTCTCCCACAGCATCACCAAAGACCCCAACAGATTCCCCTCCGAGATTGCACAGGCCAGGTGCCGATACTCAGGATGCATCAATGCTGAGGGGCAAGAAGAGAATGGGAAAAATTCGGTCCCCATCCAGCAAGAGTTCTTGGTTCTCCGGAGAGAGCCAGCACCAGCACAGAGCTGCTCCCCTACCTTCCGATTAGAGAAGATACTGGTGACTGTGGGCTGTACCTGTGTTACTCCCATCACCCGCTCTGTTGCTTGAGATCTGCCCCTCTCTTTGGTTGGGGAAGCTGAAACTTATATTCTTCCCCAAGAGCAGCCCCCTCAGCCACACAACTTTCATACCCAAACTAACTCTCGTCCTTAAGACATTCAGTCTGACCTGGGCACAATTCTGAAAACTCTCTTCTATATAGGAGAAGGCCACTTTGGGGCTCCCCAGGGAACACAACTTGGTTCTGAAATATTCTAGAGTTATATTTAAGTTTACCCAGGATACCATATTGTTAAGTGTTAGGTACCACTTTGAAAATGAGTGAAGGATGTTCCTGGGAAGACCCTAGCCTCTTTTGTCCTTTATTTCAGAATCCAGTTCCCCTCATGTTATAATCCCTTCCCATCTGTCTTCCTTTGGCTCTATTTATAATGCTACAACATGCTTCATTCCCTCATTTTTAAGTAAGGATAAAGCACAAAAATTCAGCCAGTGGGCAAGAGGAAACAGAAGTCATATTATTCAATCTTAAATAAGTTTAAAGTATGTTTATATGTTTTTAAAGAAATTGTCCATATATTTATGATTCAAAGCTTATATAAATATATCTATTTCAGAAGTAAAACTAATGTCAAGAGATAAAAGAACTAATATAATAAAATGTTATTACTTAAAAACATATTTGATGTGTTCATTTTTGATTAGGAGTGTATACTTACAGGATAAATATTATCAAAGGATTCAAAGTTCTGTACAAACCCCATCATTTCATAAAATGCCCTCACATCTCTAGGAAGGAGTGACCATTTTACAGAGAGAAGACCATTTTAGAGACTAAAGTCCAGAAGTCATACGGAAGGAAGGAAGTAAGCATTTATTAAATGCTTAGGTGCCAGGAACTGTGCAAAATGATTTTTGATTATATTGATTATATTATCTCATTTGATCCTCACAATACTCCTGGGAGGTAGCTGCTATTATGATCCCAATTTTATAGTTGAGGTAACTGAGGCAAACAGAGGTTAAATGACTTGCCTAAGGCCACATAGCTAGTAAGTATATGAGGTTGGATTTGAACTCCGGGCCAACACTCTAACCACTGCACCACTTAGGTGTCTTTTATGGGAAGTCATTAGGAGAGTTAAGACTAGGGGAGGGAAAGATGGAGGGAGGAACAGATGGTAGGGAATAAGCATTTATATGGCACCTACTATGTACCAGGCACCGTGCTAAGTGCTTTTACAAATATTATCTCAATTTGATCCTTACAACAATCCTAGGAGGTAGGAGTTATTATTTATCTCCATTTTACAGTTGAAGAAACTGAGACAGGCAGAGGTTGAGTGACTTACTCAGGGTCATAAAGCTAGGAGGTATCTGAGGCTGGATTTCTATCCATGGTGCCACTTCCTTTCCTCTAGTTCTCACTCTTTCTGTTATCCTATTTATTGTTCTTTCTTTCTGACTACATTGAGAGACTTTTGATGAAAACCAAAGGATTTCTTATTTTTAAAAATAATTTCATTAATATCTTTTGTTTTTACATCACCTACATTTCCCAGTGTATCCCTTCCTCTGTATCTCCTCCCACTCCCAATGAGCCATCCTTTGTAACAAAAAATTAAAAAAGAGAAAAAAATTCAACAAAATGAACTAGCTAACTACACATATATGTATATATAACTAATGATTTATCTATATAGCTATAGCTAATATATAAAAAAAAGTCTGACAGTATATGTAGTATTCCAAACCCATAGTTCTTACCTCTGTAGTGAAAGGGAGATGCCTTTTTGTACTTTCTTTTTTGGGACCAAGTCTATACAGTAGTGATTTAGGAAGCTCATTTAAGGCATCTCAAGGTGTTCCAGTGATCTGAAGGGGTGTCATGAGATGGGAAGGGGAAAGGAAAGACAAACCTCACAAAGATGGATTCTTGCTGAAAGTGTCCTCACTACTGAGCATTGCCTTTTTTCAATTACCGGGTGCATGTAATTCCTGCACCTGTCACAAGGTGGCAGTGTGACAGTAAATCCCCAGATCCCTTTGCCCGGCTCTAGTTGCACATATGAAAAACATGTTACATTTTCTTTCAAAGCACCTCAACCTATGTTTCTGCAGCAGAGGGTTATGAGGAGGTTATTTGTAAATTTCAGAATTTCAGGTTCAGTGGGGGAAGGGGAACCTGAGCCACCTGTGGCTTTTCAGGTTGTCAGATTGCTGATTCATCTTCTGACTTCCTAATGAGAGTAGAACCCAGAACCCTCAGCCACCAAAGGCAGTTTGCTGGGTTCTCTAGAAAAGTCTTTCCTCCCTCTAACTTGTTGAACCATTTGGCCCTGGGTCTTACACAGAAGCTCAGAGTTTCAAGGGACCTCAGATGACAACTTCTCCTGACCAAGAATCTCCTAAATAAATGTGTCAGACGAGTGGTTATCTGGCTTCAACTTGACGACCTTCAGTGAAGGGGGGAAACGCATCACTTCCCAAGACTGCTCATTTAACTTTTGTTAATCAGTCAGTCAGACGAGCATTTATTAAGTGCTAGCTATGTGCCAGGCACTGTGGTAAGGGCTGAGGGTTCAAAGAAAGGCAAAAACATGGTCCTTGCCTTCAGGAGCTCACATTCTAATGGGGGAGGTAATATGCAAACAGCTATGTACATACTATACACACACATACACACATACATACATATATACTTATACATACTCTTAAGTATATGTATGTATGTATGTGAATGTAAATGGGAAGTCATCTACTAGGTTAAGAACTAGCATATGTATGTGCGTATATGTGTGTGTATGTGTGTGTGTGTGTTTGTGTATAGCAGACAGCCATTGAAGGTGCACAATCAGGGGATGATATGTCCTGTTTGAGCGTAAGGAAGAAGGCCAGTGTCATTGGATAGAGTTTATAGAGGGAAGTGAAGTTAAAAAAAAAAAAAAAAGACTGGAATGGAAAGACAATGCCAAGTTGTGAAGGGTTTTAAGAACCAAATGGAGAGTTTTATATTTAATTCTGGAGACATCAAATAGGAGATCAGTTTGACAGCTGAGTAGAGGATGGTTTGGAGTGGGGAGAGAATTGAGACAGGGAGACCAACCAGAAAGCTGTTGAATCTTGCAGGCATGAGATGATGAGGGCCTGTACCAAGGTGGTGGCCGTGGATTGGCAAGAGATTGGATTTGTGGAGTGAGTGTCGTTGAGGAATTGCAGATGACATTGAGTTGGGGAACTTGGATGATTGGAAGGATGGTGGTACCCTTAGCAGAAATTGGGAAGTATGGAAGAGGGAAGGTTGGGATAAGTTTAATTAGTTAGGAAGTTTTGCTTTGCATTCTTTGCAGCTCCCATGGTTAGCTCCTTTAGTTTTGCCCCATGGGACCAATCAGAACGAGGCTAATTTATCTTCCACACGGAAGCCCCTTAAATGCTTGGCAGTGATTACATGCCCCCTGAATCTTCTTTTCTTCACTATAAACATCCCTGTCCCTTTAACAGATCTTTGGATGGTATGAATTTGACATCCTTCATTAAACTCATTGCCTTCGATGGAAGCTTTTCAGTTTATCAGAGTGATTCCTAAAATAGTTTCTTTTAGCAAGCCATATTTGTTAGGTAGCTGAAGTGCGGTGTTCCCTTAGGTCCTCTATGGGGCATGCTTACCTAGAATTCCAGGCGAGTAAATAGGCTTACTTACAGATATGTGTGATGGAGGAGCCCTTGCTCCCCATCCCTTTCACCACCTGCCCCCTTCCACCCTAATTTAATAGCTTGAACAGATATCATTTGGCTGCTTCTGGTTAACTATGACGACTCAGGGGTTCATATTGTGTGGTGATGAGAAGGTCTTTTAATTGGTTAGAATTTCATGGGTATATTAAAGAGGCAATCCTGTCCCTCAGGCATCCTCTTCCCGTTGACTTCGTAGTGCAAGGATGACTCTCAGAACGCTATGGAGGGTCAAGTAGGGATGTACTTCACTCCATGTGGCTGAAAGCATGAGCTTGTGGCTTCTGAGAGAGAGAGAAAGAGAGAGAGGGAGAGAGAGAGAGAGAGAGAGAGACAGTAACAGAGACAGTAACAGAAAGACAGAGATAGAGAATCCACTTGGTGATGATTGGGTTGTAGTCAGTAGAAGTAGAAATGTAAAAATGACTAATTAGCAGCCCTTATAAAGAAATTGTTTGTAAATGTCCCAAGGAGGCTTGAATATTTAGCTCTCAGTTGATTGAACAAATAATGTGTAACAGTGACTACTCTGGTCCCCATGGCCTGAAGGTGAGGTGTACTACATTTCACCCCACCCTCATGGTTCTCCAGCACCCTTAAAGGGGATTGGGAGGTTTAAGTCTCTGCTATTGGCTCAAGCCCCCATAGAATATGGGGGTCAATTTTAGAGGATCCCTGGAATTTCATTTTCATTTGGCAATTTAACAGTAAGATTAAACTTTACTCAAAGACACAGCAAAAGCAAACACACGAACATTTCCCCCAATATTTGGGGGTGCATAATCCTCCTTTAAATCCCTTTAGTCTGTGAGGAAGAGAGGGAATGAGGTTCACAGCTTAACTCAGTGCCTAATGCAGTACAGGTCCCACCTCATTCCAAGTCCAAAGCCCTTACTAGGCTCACATCCTTCTCAGGCCTTCCTTGCTTGGCTGGCAGCAACATCTGGCCTGGAATCCTGCACCTAAGGTCACTACAACTGGAGCTCCGTGGTCCAGAGACTTCACTGCCTGTGCCTGGAATTGAAAAGGACAAATGCAACAGAAAAATATTCTAAGGCAAACTCTCAGGTCGACAGGGTCAAAAAGGGCATGGGGGAAGGACACCTTTCCTCTGCCTAGCTTAGTAAATTGCATCCATACTGTGGTGTGAATAAGACACCTTCATCTCTCTGTAACTAGAAAGAGAAAGGCTGTCTCACGCTGGTAGTTTTAGAGATGCAGCCTGTTCTGACTATTTAGATATTGGAAAGAGGCTGCCCCCACCCATAGGGGAGTACAGGATATCTCCCAGAAGCAGATCCCTGCTGTCTCCCGTATTGGTATCTCTATCTTAGGTGATCTGGGCATGCACAAAACCCCACTATAAATTAAATTAGGCAAATCATGAGGT